TCGAGCTGGGCAATCTAAGAAGCTAGGACCAGGTGAGACCGTTTTGGCCCGTCAGGACTTTGACTTACAACCATTTGTTTAGCAACCGGTTCAAGTTAACGATGCCGTTGAAAAAAGCGACCTGGGACCGTTTTTCGCACTGACTTGCAGCAGTCACATGATCGAAATTCTGGCGCTGGGCAACCGACTCATATTTATGACGGTCGCCGTGTCCCGGGGTCACGTGATCTCCCTTTTGGGACTGTCTGACGAGCAAAGTCAAGGGGGAAACCCAGATTCATTTAACAGCCCTGTCATTAGCTTAACCACTGCAACGATTCCCTTAGCAGAAAAGCCGTAAAATGAGGCAAAACTCACTTAACGCACGTTTCACTTAGCAACATAAATTCAAGGCCCCGTAGTGGCCGTAACTCGAGGGCTACCTGTCTTTACAACAGGTTGCAGCATCCCAGCGTCACGTGATTGCCGTTTGCAACCTTCCCATCCCGGCTTTCCGACCAACAAAATCAATGGGGGAAGCCGGATTCACTTAACGACCATGGGGTTCACTTAACAATGGCAGTGATTTGTTTAACAACCAGGGTGAGAAAAAAAAGGGGGTTCCAGCAAGACCATCATAAATCGCAGCCCCGGGGACTGCAAACAGTTGTAAACGGAAGCCAGTTGCCAAGAGCCCCAGTTTGGTCAGTTGCTTGCAGCTACAACTTCGATGGGTCATAAGTCGCTTTTGGAGGATCCGTCGTAACTACGGCAATGGGCCGTAAGTCAAGGACTACCTGAAAACATAGCCTATTGGCCGGTGGGTGGGAAGCAACACAGAAACCTGGCCAAAGGTAACGCAGTGGAGTCATTTAGAAAAGGACACGGCTGGCTTGATCAGGTGGCCACGATGGCTGTAAGTGTGAAAAACGGTCACTTTTTTCCGTAATGTGACTTTGAACGGTCACTTAGGAGACTGTTGTAAGCCGAGGACTGCCTGTATAGCCAAAAGACAGAGCAAGCTTGGAATGAATTGTGGGCATTTTCTGCTGATCATTTTCTTCCCGGCCGGAATCGGAGGGTTTGATGGTATTTGCTTCCTGGCTACTCTGCAACTTTTTTTTTTCCCTTCGCTGCGTAAAACAAACTCTTTCTCTCTCTCTCTCTCTCTCTCTCTCTCTCTCTCTCTCTCTCTCTCTCTCTCTCTCTCTCTCTCTCTCTCTCTCTCCATCTCTCTCTCTCTCTCTCCATCTCTCTCTCTCTCTCCATCTCTCTCTCTCTCTCTCTCTCTCTCTCTTCTCTCTCTCTCTCTCTCTCCATCTCTCTCTCTCTCTCTCTCTCTCCTCTCTCCATCTTTCTCTCTCTCTCTATCTCCATCTCTCTCTCTCTCTCATCCATCTCTCTCTCTCTCTCTCTCTTTTCTTTCTCTCTCTCTCTCTCTCTCTCTCTCTCTCTCTCTCTCTCTCTCTCTCTCTCTCTCTCTCTCTCTCTCTCTCTCTCTCTTTCTCTCTCTAAGTTACGGTTTCTTACGCAGCCAAGGGAGCTTTGCTACCGCACAGGAAATCGGATGCAAATGTAACCTTCCAAAATGGCACGTAATTAAAAACACCTTCACCTGTCTGGGATACCAAAAGCAAACAGCGGCATTCAAAGCCTCTATAATAAAGATTGGCTGATGTATGTAGAAAACCCTCCGGGAGGTCCTGCGCAGCCGCCTGGCCTGCTTGGTGCGTACAGATGGTCAAATTCCAGCAGTCCAGGTCTATATTGCTCAGAAACGGCATTTCGGTCTCTGAGAATCCAGTTGGGGTTTTTTTGTTTTTTTCCTGTCTTAAAAAGAGAAAATATAAACGGATGCCTCGCTTCGACGGTCAGCAGCCTTCTTTTAATTTGCTCTTTGAGGCAAGCCAAGTATTTATTCTTGCAAGTAGAAATGTACCAGTTTGTAGAAAGGGCTCCCTTCCGGCGGGTCAGAAGCAGAACTGGGGTGGGTGGGGGTCTGGGGGGGATGAAATGTCAAGCATCTGGAGAGCCAGAGGTGGGTGTGGGTGTGTTTTGATGGGAGAATAAAAAAATGAATGACGGTCACCAACTCTGCAGCAGGCATCGTGTTAGGAGAGAAGATTCTCTCCTGGTGTCTTGGGCAAAGGACGCAACAGGCCTCCGCGCCACTTTTTTCCCAGTGACTTTGTGTGTGTGTGTGTGTGTACATTCCTGCCTAAATATGGATAGATTTGAGAGTGAACCCCCCCCCCAAGAGAAATTAGGTAAGGTTTGAGAGCAGCCCCATTTTAAAAGCCTAGTTCAATTTAGCTGGGACAAAACATGATCCAGCCCCTGCGTGGTTTTATGTCGTCTCAAGCCCAGATTTGCTTCTTCTTCTTCTTCTTCTTGTGCCATATCCGTTATCGGACGTTGGCAATCATGTTGGCGATCCTGTTTTTATCAGCAGCCGCACGAAAAAGTGCTGCTGAGTTTTGTCCAAAGCAGTCCCTTAGATTTTGAAGCCACGATGTTCTTCTTCTGCCTGGACCTCGTTTGCCTTCAATCTTTCCCTGGAGGATTAAATGGAGTATGCCGTATTTTTCGGGGTGTCGCATCACGTGTCCGAAATATTCTAATTTCCGTTTTTTAATTGTTTTGATGATTTCCCTTGGCTTTCCCAGGCGGCTGATCCCCTCCTCATTTCTGATCTTGTCAACCCAGCTTATGCGCAACAGCCGCCTGTAAATGCACATTTCAAATGCTTCTAGTCTCTTCAGATCTGCTGTATGTTTCTAAATAATAGCCTAAACCAGGTAAACTCTTCATGTTCTTATTGCCACAGTCATCACATCGGTGTTTGAGGTAACTGCTGGCTGATATTCTTTCTTTTCTTTTTTTTTCTGTTGGTCAGTGAGATTGGAATTCAGCAGCTGGATTGGGAAAAAGAAATGAGAATCTTGAGAAAAAGACCTGCCTTGTAAACAAATTTCCAAAAGTAATCAGAAAACTAATAGTATCACTAGCCCCTAATTAGCTCGATCCTCCCAATGGCTGAAGGGAAAGTGAATTTTCCTCTCTTATTTTTACATTGAATTCTTCTTGTCTTCCTCTTCTGTCTCCAGATACGCTCTCAGTACCTCGCTGGTCCCCCCAAATTCCTCGACGGGATCTTGGAAACTCAATCAAACACAGGTATAATGAATATATATATATATATATATATACACGCACAAAGGGGACCTGTAGAGCCTTGGCAGAGACAGCTATTGTATTTTACGATCTAATTGATGCAAGAATAGCTGTTTATATCCTCCTTGTGGGCCCTCAACAAATATCACTCAGTCTCATTCTTTCTGTACATTATTGTTACTGGTAACCATGGATACTTGGGGACAGGAAAATAAAACAATAATCCGATCCCTTAGTAACCATAGTAAGCGTGGAGAGAAAATGTACGTACAAAAAGTTACTCCAGGTGATATAGTCGTTCAGGGACACCAGCCTGCTGTGTTGAAATTGAATTTCAGGCCAACTAATATTTTGATGCTTTGGGGATTTCACCGGTGGCCGTAAAAGTTAGCAAAATTCCCAACTGCCCTCTTTGCCTGGGTGGATATATAGTTGGTTTTGACTCGCTCAAAAATCTCACTTGCGTTAAATACTAAGAGCAAGTGAGTGGCGATTGATTTGTATGGGCTTGCTACAACAAAATCAATAAGTAATTCGGACTTGGGTGACTGGGAGAAGGAAGATCGCAGAAATCATGGGAGATTTACTTGGTGAGAAATACTCTCATTTGGAGAAGCAATTTTTATAGACTTAACAGAGGTCAACCTCGCTCTCTTTCTCTTTCCTTCTCTCTCTCTCTCTCTCTTTCTCTTTCTCTGTCTTTCTTTCTTTTTCTCTCTTTCTCTCTTTTTCTCCTTCTCTCTCTCTCCCTCCAGGTTTTCTACAAAGTATTGGATGTCCCAGACGTGCACTGTCTGCGGGAAAGGAATGTTGTTTGGGCTGAAATGTAAAAACTGCAAGTACGTCTCCTTTTTTGTAGGTTGTGCATTCCCCAGACACCTAATATACCAAACTGTTGTGGCTGGGTTCTGCTTTCCTTTGTGGCAGACATCTAGCCCTTCCTATATATACTGTATATATATCTCCCCGCGACTCCAGAGCATAAAGGGTCTAAAATAAGATTGTTTCACTCATATTTGTCAAGGATGGGCCTTTGGCATCAGAAAACTGGAAGTACTGATTTTGCACAACCAGCTAGCTCCCCAGCTCGATCTGGATGTCTTTGTAGTCCTATGACCTTGTAGACAGGCAGTTTGTTCTAGTGGTTAAGGCACCAGGCTAAGAACTGGGAGACTGTCAGTTCTAGTCCTGCTTTAGGCATGAAAGATGGCTGGGTGACTTTGGGTCAATCGCTAGGAGACGGTGAATTGTAGTCCTGCCTTAGGCATGAAAGCCAGCTGGGTGAAGTTTGGACCAATTACTGGGAGACGATGAGTTCTAGTCCCACCTTAGCTATGAAAGCCGGCTGGTGACTTTAGGCCCGTCCCTTTCTCTCAGCCCAACCCACCTTGCAGGGTTGTCGTGGTGGGGAAAATAGGAGGAGGAAGGAGTATTAGGCATGTTCTTCCCCTTGAATTGTTTATCAAAAAAAATAACAAAGGTGGGATATAAGTCAAATAAATCAATAAATACAAAGAAACCCGTTTTCGCTTCTTCCGGAAGGGCCCTAATCCAGTTTGACTCTTTTTGAAGTCCAACTGTCCACGAGCTGAGCCTCAAATCAGCGCTTCCTCTGCTTGTTTTCTCCTAGGCTAAAGTGCCACAACAGATGTACCAAAGAGGCCCCACCTTGTCACCTGCTGATCATCCACCGTGGAGGTAAGAGCCACTACAGTTCCGTTTCTCATTTTCCTTGGGTCCCCAGAACAAAAAGGGGACAGTGTCCTTTGCTAACTTCCTACTACAATATTCCCCGCCCTCCTTCTTCATCTACGAATCGCCTTTCCTTTCCCAGGGCTTCCAAACCCTTCCATCCTTGCAGTTTCTCCCTGCGCAAACTCCTTCCTACTTCTGCTTTCTCACCAGTTCTGCAAGAAAGAGTTTTGGTCTTGGGGGAGTTTACCTCTCCAGTCAGTTGGGGCAGGAGCCAGCTAAGAATCTGGAGAGGGTTTGTCTCTCAAAACATAATCGTTCAGGAGCGCCTTGCTTTCTTCTTTTTATATGACGACAAGAACCAAGAAGACGCAGGAAAGCATGGTTTTCCAGAACTCCTGGGATGAGGGGATGGGAAGAAAAAAAAGAGGAAGGGATAGATAGATAGATAGATAGATAGATAGATAGATAGATAGATAGATAGATAGATAGATGACGGACAGACGAACAGATATGGATAGTGATAGATAGATAGATAGATAGATAGATAGATAGATAGATAGATAGATAGATAATGGATGGATAGATGGATGGATGACAGATAGATAGATAGATAGATAGATAGATAGATAGATAGATAGATAGATAGACAGATAGTTAGACGGATGGACGGACGGATATGTATGGTGATAGATAGATGGATGGATGGATGGATGATAGATAGATAGATAGATAGATAGATAGATGATTGATGAATAGATAGATAGATAGATAGATAGATAGATAGATAGATAGACGGATGGATGGATGGATGGATGGATGGACGGACGGACAGATATGGATGGTGATAGATAGATAGATAGATAGATAGATAGATAGATAGATAGATAGATGGATGGATAGATGGATGTTAGATAGATAGATGGATGGATGGATGGATAGATAGATAGATAGATAGATAGATAGATAGATAGATAGATAGATAGATAATCTTTATTGTCATTTTTTCCTGTGGGCACAACGGCACACATTAAAAACGAAATTTAGTTGCTTGCTCTCAGAGCGTACACATACACTATACACACTTAAACATACTATATATGTTTACGATAATGATGTTTACGGTCATGATAAAATTACAGATGGCCGAAGGTGGGCTATTTCGCTCCGCCTCTTTATTTTTATTTTCCTCTTCTCCAGCCTTTTCTCTTTCTTTCTCTCTCTCTCTCTCTCTCTTTTGTTTTTGATTCAGCAAGATTAGTCCGGACAGAATCCGTGCCGTGTGACATCAACAATCCGCTGCGGAAACCCCCCAGATATTCAGATCTGCCCATCAGCCAGACGCTCCCCAAAACCAACAAAATCAACAAGGTGAGGCGGCCTCAAGGGCACCCAGCCAAAGAAGTGCTTATGGTGGTGAATTAAAAGCCTGTTTTAAGTCAAAGGTACGAAAAGGTCCTTCCTTTTGTTGCCAAAGCTGCTTGTGGCTCTTGATCATAGAGCTGTGACTGGAGAGGAAATGGGCAGCTGGCCAGCTGTGCTGAGTCTGGGGTCAGCCAGTAGCCACCGTGGAACTAAACCATTCAGGGATGCCAAGGCTGGGTTCGAAACCCTGCTTGTCTGCCAGCAAATTCCTAAGGAGTTGGAGCATGGCTTTCATACCCTTGATTATTAAAATTCTGCGCCCCCCCCCAAAAGCACAAATAAATCAAAATAAATCGAAAAGATTTCAGAGTTCAGATTGAAATGGACCACACATTTTCAAAGCATCAGAGTTAAAGGTAAGAAACAATGGTTGGAAACTGATCAAAGAGAGAAGCAGCCTGGAACTAAGGAGAAGGTTCCTGAGAGTGAAGATAATTAATCAGTGGAACAGCTTGCCACCAGAAATCGTGGCTGCTCCAGCACTGGAGATTTTTAAGAGGAGGCTAGACAGTCACTTGTCTGAGATGGTATAGGTTCTCCTACTTGAGCAGGGGGCTGGACTAGAAGACCTCCAAGGTCCCTTCCAGCTCTGCTCTACTCTACTCTACTCTACTCTACTCTACTCTACTCTACTCTACTCTACTCTACTCTACTCTACTCTACTCTACCCTACTCTATTCCTTCCTTCCTTCCTTCCTTCCTTCCTTCCTTCCTTCCTTCCTTCCTTCCTTCCTTCCTTCCTTCCTTGTTTGAGATGGTATAGGTTCTCGTGCTTGAGCAGCGGGCTGGACTAGAAGACCTCCAAGGTCCCTTCCAGTTCTATTCTATTCTATTCCTTCCTTCTTTTACTTCTTCCTTCCTTCCTTCCTCCCTCCCTCCCTCCCTCCCTCCCTCCCTCCCTCTTGCCAGAGATTTTTTTTTAAAAAATTGAACCCCCGAAAACCAATCTGAAAGAGCATCCTTTGTATCAAAAAGCCAATCCATTGCCCTCTCGCCATAAAATACATCTTCACTTTAGATTTGTTTTGGTTTTTTTCAAGAAAGGAAACAGATTCGTGCAGGGACTTGAAAGGAAGAGGATTCTGAATGATCAAAGGCGAAACGGATCTGAAGGAAAAGAGAAAGCAGTAATAAACTTATTCATCCCTCCTTAATAATCTTTGTAGTTGCAAGGGAGTAGAGTCAGTGGACCCCTAGGAGTCAAGGAACTCAAATACATAAAATAATACAAAATAAAAATAAAACAAAGTAACGTAAAATAAAGTAAAGGAAAATAAGTAAGATACAAAATAAAATAAAGTAAATAAAAATAAAATAAAATAAAGTAAGTAAAATAAAATAAATAAGATATGAAGTAAAGTAAAGTAAAATAAGTAAAATAAAATAAATAAGATACAAAATAAAATAAAATAAAATGATGAGGTGAGGTGAGGTGAGACGAGACCAGATAAGACAAGACAAGATAAGATAAGATAAGATAAGATAAGATAAGATAAGATAAGATAAGATAAGATAGCAAGTTTCCAATATTTGAGAGGGGGACAATCTATTCTCCAAAGCACCTGAAGGCAGGACAAGAAGCAACGGATGGAAACTTGATCAAAGAGAGATTCGATCTAGAACTAAGGAGAAATTTCCTGACAGTGAGAACAATTAACCAGTGGAACGACTTGCCTCCAGAAGTGGTGGATGCTCCAACACTGGAAGTTTTTAAGAAGAGACTGGACAGCCATTTGTCCGGAATGGGATAGGACCTCCTGCTTGAGCAGGGGGTTGGACTAGAAGACCTCCAAGGTCCCTTCCCAACTCCTCTTGTTATTCTGTATTCTCTATAAATAAGCAAATAAACCACCTTCTTCGCCTGCCATGGCAACCAGCCTGCAACAAAAGTGCAAAGGAATAGAGAAGAAATTGGCCAAGACCTCTGTCTCCCCCCCCCCTCCAGCTTTGAAACAGTATCATCCTGTTTTCTTCCTGGTCTGTTCAGCCATCTGGAGGGCCACCGCACTGCAGATGGCTTGCTGGATTTCCACTCACGCCTGCCAATTCGACTCGAGAGCTCAGCAGATCTGGTTGATGTGAAATAAAAACCCGTCGGGGGTTGAGACAAGAAGTCTCAGCCCAAGGGGATCCCATCTTATAGTCCAGACTAGAACTCACTGCCTCCTGGTGATTGGTCCAAAGTCACCAGCCGGCTTACATGGCTAAGGCAGGACTAGAACTCACCGTCTCCTGGTGATTGGCCCAAAGTCACCCAGCCGGCTTTCACGGCTAAGGGAGGACTAGAACTCACGGTCTCCTGGTGATCGGCCCAAAGTCACCCAGCCAGCTTTCCTGCCTAAGATGAAACTAGAACTCACAGTCTCTTTGGGATTGGCTCAAAATCACCCAGCCAGCTTTCATATGTGTAAGGTAGGACTGGAACTCACAGTCTCCTTGTATACTGGCCAAAATCACCTGGCTGGTTTTCATGCGTTTGGTGGGACTAGAACTCACCATCTCCTGGCGATTGGCCCAAAATCACCCAGCCGGGTTCTCCCGAGTTTTATTTTGTACAGTATTTTGTTTTTCTGGGTTTTTTTTTTTTTCCCCGAAATCCAAGCTTCTGTTCAGAGTGGCCAAACGGAGAAAGTGGCAGATTTTTTTGACAGCCATCAGAACGTCATCTGTGGAAACCTGTTGCTGGCTACTCAAAATAGAGAGGCCTTATTTTTAAGTTTTAAGCCTTATTTGCATCCAATTTGCATTCCACCTGCCTGGCATTTGCACCCATCGCTCCCTCCTCTCCCTGCTACTTCCCAGCGTCACTCTCCTTTTTCATTTCTGGAATGGGCAACAAGGCGGTCTGAACGAGGGAGTGGGCTTTGAGCCCGACTGCCCTTGGCAGAATCAGAACAACCAATTTGGGAGGGAGCTCGGAGGTCTCTTAGTCCAGCCCGCGACTCAAGCAGGAAGCCCTACCTACCCTGTCAGGCCAGGGGCTGCCCAGTCTCTTCTTGAAAACTTCCACGCACAATATTTCTGGAGGTGAGTTCTAGTCCCGCTTTAGGCCTGAACACTGGCTGGCAGATTCTTAGTCATTGAACTAAGACTTCAGGAGTCAATGTGCTTGACGCTTGGTCTTGTTCGATAATGTAGAACTTTGGCTTTGACCTTCAAGGACTCCTGCCTTGCGCAGAAGATTGAACAAGAAGACCTGTTTGAGACGGTATAGGTTCGCCTGCTTGAGCAGGGGGCTGGACTAGAAGACCTCCAAGGTCCCTTCCAGTTCTGTTCTGTTCTGTTCTGTTCTAGTCTATTCTTTCTGTTATTCTCTCCTCTCCTCTCCTCTCCTATTCCATTCCATTCCATTCTATTCTATTCTACTCTATTCTATTATCTGTTGTTCTATTCTTTCTGTTATTCTATTCTACTCCTGTTCTACTCCTATTCTAGTCTAGTCTAGTCTAGTCTGTTCTATTATGTTTAATATTCTATTCTGTTTCTGTTCCTGTTCCTGTTCCTTATTCTATTCTATTCTATTCTAGTCTAGTCTAGTCTGTTCTGTTCTGTTCTGTTCTATTCTATTCTATTCTATTCTATTCTATTCCATTCCATTCCATTCCATTCCATTATTCTATTCTATTCTATTCTATTCTATTCTATTCTATTCTATTCTATTCTATTCTATTCTATTCTATTCTATTCTATTCTATTCTATTTTATTCTATTCTGTTTCTGTTTCTGTTTCTGTTCCTGTTCCTGTTCCTGTTCCTTATTCTATTCTATTCTACTATTCTATTCTATTCTATTCTATTCTAGTCTAGTCTAGTCTAGTCTAGTCTAGTCTAGTCTAGTCTAGTCTGTTCTATTCTATTCTATTCTATTCTATTCTATTCTATTCTATTCTATTCTATTCCACTCCACTCCACTCCACTCCATTTTATTCTGTAATCTTATTTCTATTCTGTTCTATTCTACTCCATTTTCTATTCTATTCTATTCTATTCCCTCCAAGGTCCTTTCCAACCCCATGCTTCTATGATCCTTGCTTCCTCTTTGATTACTCTGACATCTGGGTGCTTCAGAGTAGAACCCCCTCCAATCTCCCCCCTCTCTCTGCTGACTCCAAAATCTGGTGAAAGAGGGCACGTGAATAAGCAGGAATCGCTCTGTTAAGAGAAGAGGGATACAGATGGAGACCTGCCTAAGGGTTCCTCCCCATCTTCCTAATTAATTTGAAGTCCCCCTCTTCTGCCAACTCCTAAGCTCTCTTTGCCAGCATTAGGAACTCTTATTCACCACGGTGTTATCAAATAGTTGGCAGGCAGCAGCCCCATAGAGCTGCGTCAAGGATGTGCAGCCTTGTGCGAAGCGCCCGTCTGTCGCACCTTATCGCAAAATGCCCGCTCTTGCCCCTTTAAGTTAAATGGCCCATGAGGAGTGATGGATGGGGAAATAACTGGAGCCAGGCTGGATCCTCCAGAGGAGACACAGTGGGCTTTCCCTGCCTCCCTTTTCTCCATCCCAAAGATCTTACATGCCGCCTGCTGTCCAGGTGTAGCTTTACTACCAGGAAGCACCAGGTGGAGGTTTACTGTCCAAATACGTGGTGAGAATTTCTTACTGTATGGGCAAGATGAGCTGAGAGCTGGGCAGCCTGCTAGCTAGTTAAAGAAATCCTAATTCCCCCACTCTCTCTTTCTCTGTCCCTTTCTCTCTTTCTTTTACGTTCTCTTTCTCTCTCTCTGTTTCTCTCTCTCTGTCCCTTTCTCTCTTTTACATTCTCTTTCTCTCTCTCTGTTTCACTCTCTCTGTCCCTTTCTCTCTTTTACGTTCTTTCTTTCTGTTTCTCTCTCAGTCTGTCTCTTTCTTTCTTTTACATTCTCTCTCTCTCTGTTTCTCTCTCTCTGTCCCTTTCTTTCTTTTACGTTCTCTTTCTCTCTCTCTGTTTCTCTCTCTCTGTCCCTTTCTTTCTTTTACATTCTCTTTCTCTCTCTCTGTTTCTCTCTCTCTGTCCCTTTCTTTCTTTTACGTTCTTTCTTTCTGTTTCTCTCTCAGTCTGTCTCTTTCTTTCTTTTACATTCTCTCTCTCTCTGTTTCTCTCTCTCTGTCCCTTTCTTTCTTTTACGTTCTCTTTCTCTCTGTTTCTCTCTCTCTGTCCCTTTCTTTCTTTTACGTTCTCTTTCTCTCTGTTTCCCTCTCTCTGTCTGTCTCTTTCTCTCTTTTACGTTCTCTTTCTCTTTTTTCTTTCTCTCTCTCCCCTCCCCTCTCTCTTTCTCTTTCTCTTTCTTTCCCTTTTGCTTTAGAGACTTTTTGTAGAAAGGCTCACATGTTGGAAAAGCCACAGCCAATCTCCTTCCTGGAGGTGGGCAATCCCAATCAAAAAGTCAGTGACGCCAGCCTCGCCAGTAGCTTAGGTGAATAAAGCCATTAAATGAAGCTAAATCAACCAGCCTGAGAACGGAGACCTTTTCAAAGGGGAAGACGTCAAATCTTGGCATTATATTATGCCCCAGGTCCAAAGGCAGATTGTTAGTAAAGAAGAACATTTGCTTATGAGATCAAACCATTCTGGGATTGAGGACTGTTTTAGTTTGCCTTGGGATTTTACTCTTGCTCGATGAATTAAAAACTTAGCCATATCTGGGACGTGTGCCTCTGCACTAGCCCACCCCACTTGTTCCAGCAGAAGGGGTCCACTGCAGACTCTGTCGGCCAGGTAATTCTGTCTGGCAGGGTCAAGGAGAAGAGCCTTCTCCACTGTGACCCCAGTGCTATGGAACATCCTATGAATGGCAGTGAGAACTGCTCCCATCCTTTTAGCCTTCCGGTAGAGCAGGGGTCTTCAAACATGGCCCTTTTGTGGACTTCAACTTCCAGAATTCCTCAGCCAGCATGGCTGGCTGAGGAATTCTGGAAGTTAAAGTCCACAAGTCATAAAAGGGCCAAGTTTGAAGACCCCTGCAACAGAGAACAACCACCTTCCTTAGCAATGCAATTTCTGATCCCAACTGAGGTCATAAGTTGAGGACTACCTGTAGATCTTCTGGAGAAGCCCGAACTGAAGACCTTCAGGCTTGCTGGTTGAGTGCTCACCCAACTGTTGCTCCTTCTCTTGTAGGATCACATTCCAGTGCCCTACCAGCCTGATTCCAGCAGCAATCCCTCCTCCACCACGTCGTCCACTCCTTCTTCACCAGCTCCTCCCCTGCCACCCAGCGCCACGTCACCTTCGCCCTTGCACCCCTCCCCGCAGTGCACGCGGCAACAAAAACAGTTCAATTTGCCAGGTAAGTGCGATGTATTCAGTAACAATTCAGTCACTGTTAGGTGCAGCCGCCAGTTCTTGCCAGTGATTCTAGTGTAGGGGAAGGAGTGGCAGAATCTGGGGTGGCGGCGTTAAAAGAGGAACCAGCCTGGAATCTTTACGTAGCCACAGGAATTCTGTTGATCCTTATCTAATTCCAAAACGGGCGCTAACCATTAGTTGAGAAGATGGCTACGTACAGTCACCAGTAGCAAGAAATCAATTTAATTGGATTTTTACATGTGGACTTGGTTTTTTTTTTTTCATATAACATAGGAATACTTTATGGCACAAGCATTCCTGAGCAAAAGACCTTTGAGGTCCCTCTCAGCTCTAGGATTCTGTGTTTTATTCAGAAATGGCAGTTCTGCTAATCACTTATTCCTCCTAAATTGTGTTTTCACTCTTCCACAGCTTCTCACTATTACACGTACAAGCAGCAATTCATTTTTCCAGGTAAGTGTTCACGAACAATCACAAGACTGCTTCTAACCGGAAGGTTTTTAGAAAATCAGAAGGTTTTTACCTGCATGTACCCAGGGATATCCACGATTATCCATGGAAATAGAGCCGTTGCTTGGATTCTTGTAAATCCCTTCCTTTTGGCCTCAATAAACCTTGTTAAAGAGAACTCTCTGAGCAAGGGGTTGGGTTTAGTTTTCTGCCGAACACCCTGGCAAATTGGGTCTCACTGGCTCCAGAAAAAAAAAAAAAGAAAGGAAGGAAGAAATAGTTGGAATACAGGAAAGGGGTGATGGGGAGCATCTGGACCAGGTTGTATTCTGGTTATTATTACTATTACAGTTGGTTGCACTGTCAGCCAGATGTTTAGACTGGGTTTGGCATGTTTATTGACTTATCAAGTCCCTCCCGAGGACCTGAGATAGGCAGATGTTGCTTAATATTAGGAAAGGTCTGGTTGCAGGATGTAAGCCATTCTGAATCAAGCTGCCTTTTGCAATTGACCAGTGGGGATATTGTCAATGCCGACCGAGTACAAGTGCTGCTCCAGTTGTTTTGGTATTGCACCCAAGGTGCCTATGACTATGGGTACACTACATATTGCAGCAGGCCAACTCACTAAAATAATTTTGCCATTAGTGTTTTATATTGTCTTCATAACACACCCAGCCATTGCTGAAGTGATATAAAACCCGTCCTGCTTATTATTATAATTTTGATGGAACAACGGTTGGGTGACTTCAGAAGATACCAGAAATAGCTGATGGCGAAATGATAGCATTTGGCAACAAGGCTAGTCCCCCGGGGGTCATTTGAGTGACAGCACAGACGACTACTCTGAAATTTCCCAATATATACACTGTTCCAGATCCAGGACGCCATTTACTTTCCCACTTGATTCTGCTCCCCTTTCCACGCAATTCCCAATATAGCTCCAGTCAGAGGCAAGGATTCTCTGCGGAATAAAGTGGTGCCCATTTAATTTAAAAAGTGTTTTTCCCAGGGCAGGGTTCAGCAGTCCAAACTGGCAACACTATATGGGCTTGTGAGAAACAGCCGCCTGAATTTCGCCGATTGTTTGAGCATCTTTTGGGGGGGGGTCCTTCCGAGAGCACCCCGTCAGCCGCGTCTCTGAACAGGATTTCCTTTTCTTTCCAGATGTTGTGCCTGAGCTGCCCACCCGACCACCTCAAGTTGTCCTCCATCCCGTGAATTCAGACCCAATGTAAGTGTCTCACTGTGTGTCCTCCTCTTTGGAACCATGGTCCAACCCATCTTTAGAAATTATTTCTCCTGTTCCTCCTCCTTCTCCTCCTCCTCCTCCTCTTCTCCTTCTCCTCCTTCTTCTCCTCCTTCTCCTCCTTCTCCTCCTCCTCCTCCTCCTCCTACTACTACTACTACTACTACTACTACTTCTCCTCCTCCTTTTCCTTCTCTCCTCCTCCTCCTCTCATATTACCTTCTTTGGAAGAACAAAGCTAGTTTCCTGAATGGCAGAGAACAGAAGACCACACCCAATGTTTATGTGTTTATATGTTACTTGTATGTAAGGGTGTAGGTCTATACATATGTTGTATATAGTATGTTTTAAATGCGTGTTATGTATGTGTATACTTTGAGAGCAAGCAACTAAATTTCATTTTTAATGTGTGCCGTTGTGCCCACAGGAAAAAAAATGACAATAAAAGGTTATCTAATCTTTTTTTTTTTTTTTTTTTTTAAAATCTAATCTAATCAATCTCTGCCTCCAGAAGTTACCTTGAGAGGCCTCTTACCAAAGACTATGGATTTTTGATCCTTTTAAAAAACAGACAGGCAAACTAATTCATTTCTAATTATATCACTCTCCTGCATATTTCATCGCTTGTAGGTTTGTAAACATAGAAAAGTTATCTCCTTTCTTTATAATTAAAAAATAAAAAAAAATCTAAGCTTGCAATTAAACCCATTTTTGCCTAAACGGTCGGGACTGCCAGCACGCTTTCTCCCCAGTGCATTTTCTGCATGGACTGCCGGCCTCAAGCACATTATTTGTAAGGCATCTTCTGGTCTTGAACTTCTCTACAAGATTTGAGGCAGACCATCGCCTAAAAGCACACCACCGTGTGTCATTTGTGCGTGAGCCCGAGAAACTGGCCTCAAATTAGCTTGCTTGAAAATGGAAACTAAAAGGAACCCCTCCAGCTTGTCGCTGTGAAGTAGTTCAGCGCTGTACCATAAGAGAGTTCCCCCAGCTTTTTTGGCACCCCTTGTCAGGAGAACCTGCCTGTGTGCTAGTTAGCCAGAGGCACCTTGTTCCTCTCAGGACGCAGCGCTTATTCTGAGCAGAAGGATCGGCAGCAGGTTGCCCCCCCCCCGAATGCCTCTACTGAAAAAAAGTCTCTTCAAGCCATTGTAATAGAAGAGAGGAGATGTTGTTGTTAGTTGCGAAGTTGTGTCCGACCCATCGCGGCCCCCTGGACAACGTTCCTCCAGGACTTCCTGTCCTCTACCATCTTCTGGAGTCCATTTAAGATCACGCCTACTGCTTCAGTGACTCCATCCAGCCACCTCCTTCACTGTCGTCCCCTTCTTCTCTTGCCCTCCATCTTTCCCAGCATTAGGCTCTTCTCCAGTGAGTCCTCCCTTCTCATTAGGTGGCCAAAGTACTTGAGTTTCCACTTCAGGATCTGGCCTTCTAAAGAGCAGTCAGGGTTGATCTCCTCTAGGACTGACCGGTTTGAACGCCTTGCAGTCCAAGGGACTCGTAGGAGTCTTCTCCAGCCCCAGAGTTCAGAGGCCTCCATTCTTTGGCGCTCAGCCTTTCTTATGGTCCAACTTTCACAGCCATACATTGCAACTGGGAAAACCATGGCCTTGACTATACATGAGAGAGGAGATATTCTCCAGCAATCCCGTCACTGGAGGTTTTTAAGAAGAGACTGGACAGCCCTTTGTCTGAAATGGCATAGGGTTTCCTGCCTGAGCTGGGGGTTGGACTCGATGTGAGACGAGCCCATTATCTAGGTCACTTATGTTGTGAGTTTGTTATGCACTGCCTTGATCGTTGCTTTGTCGTTGGTTTTAATTGTATTTTCAGTTCCGTCTACGGCAGGGGTGGGGGGTGGGTGGAATGGGGTTGCCCTATTGTTTTTCTCTTGTGCCCAGGTTGTCAGCAGCCCAAATTTATTCATTTAAAAGGGGTGGCTTTATAAAATGTATCCGTCAGTCAAGGTGGTGCAGTACCAGATTCATCTGTCTAGAGTGTAAAAGAAAAATTGCAGGGTTTAAAATGAAGTGGGAATATAAACCAATGGTTTAAAGCAGAGAGAGAGAGAGAGAGAGAGAGAGAGAGAGAGAGAGACTGTGATTATGACTGTTGTGACCTACGCACACACACACACATATACAGAGAGAAAAAACCCTTCTGGTATTCTATCCCTGCCTATAATGTGCATAAATTTATAATCACCAGCCCACAGGTTGATTCTCGCTTTTCCTCGGCAAAGAAAAATAAAGCCCAGAAGAAAATAGCAAAATTCTTGTTTGCAACCTGAGAAGCATCTCTAGGATGGAGAAGGGCAACACTTGAGGTGACACAAGGAAGCAGCTGCTTTATCAGTTCCAGGGGAAAGACTTGTCCTGAGCTTTCAGGCCGGAGTAATTTTGAAAGGTGAGAGAACCTAGAATTGGCAGCTGTTCCTACATTAGAGATTAAAGAAGCCCTTTCCGTTTGAACACGCGGCCTCTGAAAAATTAATGCTCCGCTCTCATCTTCTCCGGCCTCGTTCTCACCAAAGCTGATTTCGCCTCGGCGGGTTTTGGGATAAATCCGTCCTCCAGGAAGTTTCCAGGAATCTTCTTGGCTCTCTTTCTCCTCTGGTTTTTCCCCTTCCTTGAAAGCCTGGGATTGATTTTGCTGCGTAGGAGAAGGAAGAAGAGGAGAAGGAGATAAGGAAGAAGGAAGGAGAAGGAGGAGGAGGAGGAGGAAGAGGAGAAGAAGAAGAAGAAGAAGAAGAAGAAGAAGAAGAAGAAGAAGAAGAAGAAGAAGAAGAAGAAGAAGAAGAAGAAGAAGAAGAAGAAGAAGAAGAAGAGGAGGAGGAGGAGGAGGAATAGATTTTTTCATAATGGAGGAGGAGGAGAAGAAGAAGAGGAAGAAGAAAGAAGAAGAGGAAGAAGAAGGAGGAGATTTTTTTCATAATAAAGGAGGAAGAGGAGAAGAAGAGAATTTTCTTATAATAAAGGTGGTGGGGAAGGAGAAGGAAGAGAAAGAGAAGGAGATTGGTTCAATAACAAAGGAGGAGGAGGAGGGGGAGCAGCCTAGTTCCTCTGGCTTTGCATTAACCTGGTCCTCAAAGTTCCTCCCACGCCCCTGCCTTGGGCCTTTCCCCTTGCCCTCTCTCCCACGCTCTCCTCTCTTTGCTTTAAGAATTCAGGGAAGACTGAAGAATCGTCCTTAACGAGTAAAACAGCCCGTTGGCTTCTTTCTTCGCTCACCTTTTCTCTTTAGCAACCGCAGATCTTCGGAGAGTTTAAGAAAGTGAAAAACAATGGTGGCAAAGTTAAAAAGAAATATGGAAATCGGGTATCACCATCGGCTTTAGATTCTGATTTCGTTTGTCCATTCCTCTCGCATCCCTTCTTTCGGCTGATAGCTCCCTTCCCTCTTGCTCCAAAGAGCACAAAGCAGCTCCAGGACCATATGTCTCACACACACACACACACACACACACACACGCACACGCACGCACACAAACCCGTGGTCCCCAACCACTTCCAACAGTTGTCTTGTTAATCTGGCACAGGAAAAGCATCATCCAAATCACGGAGGATAATCATATTAATTGCCTTCTGTTAATTTAATCCGCAGTTCCATTTGCATTTAAATTCCGCAACGAGCCTTGTGTGAATCCGGGTCAGAAAAGAAGGCCCAGAGTCTCTTGGCGAAGTGAGACAGGCAGCCTAAAAGTTTAATGGTTAAATAAATAAGAAGAAAAGCCACACATGCATTGTCCAGGCTGCCACACACATTCTCTCTCTTTCATTTTCATTCTCTTTCTCATTCTCTCTTTCTTTTTCACTTTCTCTCTTTCTTTCTGTCTCTCATTTACATTCTTTCTCTTTCTCTCTTATTCCCATTCTTTCTCTTTTTCTTTCATTCTCTTTCGCATTGTCTCTGTCTCTCATTGTTTCTTTTTCACTTTCTCATTCTTTCTGTCTCTCATTCACATTGTTTCTCTTTCTCTTTCTCATTCTGTTCTCTCTCTCTCTCTCTCTCTCTCTCTCTCTCTCTCTCTCGCTCTCGCTCTCTTTCTGTTTCTCTTTCTCTCTTTCTGTCTCTCTCTCTCTCCTGTTCTTGAAATGTCCCTTCCATTTCTCATGCGACTGATGTTCCGTTCATCACTCTACAAAGCATTTGTTCAAAAATGGATTCATTTGTTTTCATGTCATTAACCATGTAGTTAGCTGACCAGGAAAAAGCAAATTTCAGATGAGTGTCGTACATGTCATTTTTCAGAAACCTAGTGGACGTTGGAGGTTGCTAATGATATATGCCAAAACTTGTATTTCGTCTGGCAACCCATCAAACTGACTCTCAAGAAATTAATATTTGATCTCTGAATCAATTTAGATTTTGGGTGAACTTCAAATGTGTTGTTCCACATTTGTTCAGCACAATTAACTAGTACTCCAGCATGCGTTATAATGTACCGTTATTTTGGCCTGTAAGAGAGTGTTGTTGTTTTTTTTTAATATTGTAAGCCATTTTAGCGATAGCTCTTGGTCTGTTGAAAGGTGTCAGAGGAGAATAATCTTTGGTGTGTTGCTTGCGATGAAAACTGCAAGCCATTTATTCCTTTGAAAGTGGTCATTCGGCTTCTGTCAATCAAGAGCTGAGCTATGTCTACTGTGAAAACTGAATGAAGAATCAGGTCTGAACTGGTGTGAAGTAATAAAACCTTGAGAATGGGTTCATACATCATACAGTTCTGTTAACCATGGTTTGACGGATAGGTCAACGTTGGCTGGTGATAGGCTAAGCCATACTCCTTGGTTGGCAAAGCACAGTGGCTATTTTTCCTACAAAAGGTTAAGCCAAAACCTACAAACCAAAATAATAGCTTAGCATTGTGTCTGAATCCATCCTGGAGTTGCAGAAGAGCTTATATTCCATCCAATGCCCTGTTCAACAGCAACAAAATCTACAACTTGAGCTTCCCTAGCAGTCTGTCTCTACACCTCTTCCATGTACACCAGCCTCAGTGTACAATTGGTTCCCTTGCTTATGGGGATGCCCCGTCATGGCTGTCCCAAAGGTGCTTTTTCAAGAGACTGAACTTTCTCGTTTTTCTTTGAAGACGTTTCGCTTCTCGTCCAAGAAGAGAGCTGAAGAAGTGCCTTTGGGTGAGAAGCAAAATCTCTTCAAAAGAAAAACAAGAAAATTCAGCTGTGTTTTGAAAAAAAAAAGCACCTTTGGGACAATTGATCCCCTTGTTTAGTTGTTCTTGAGGGTCATATTATAGTCAGTAAAAATCATAAGAGCGGGAGGAGTGCTATTGAGGTAGGAAGTATGAAACTGAGACATTTCCTACAGGTGATCATCCAAACTTTAGTTTAACACTAGTTGGTGTGCAATATAAATGTAATCATTCGACTATGGAACTACTCAGGATAAAAAAAAGTAGAGAATAAACAAGGACCTCCGTATTGGCTGTTGAAAAGAATTTTTTTATCCTCAGGATTGATGGCTCTCAGAGGGACACATAACCATCTATTCCAGTGTTTCTCAACCTTGACCATTTTAAGGCATGTGGACTTCAACTCCCAGAATTCCACAGCCAGCAATGCTGGCTGTGGAATTCTGGGAGTTGAAGTCCACATGCCTTAAAATGGTCAAGGTTGAGAAACACTGGTTATTCCCTTTTCTTCCTTCCTAACTGAGACTTTTGTAGGTTACCAAGGCATTCCTTAACCTTACAACTGACTTTCGTTTTAATTTGTAAAGAGAATTGTCGAACACTGTTTCAGCTCTAATGGTTACTGAGAGAGTCTTGGGATGATGATGATGATGATGATGGATTTATTTTCAATAACTCAAGGCAATTTATTTTTAGTAATTTGGGGTGTTTCTTTTCCTCCAAGCCGAGAAGGGAATCCAGTACTTCAAATTGAAGTGGAGCCAACCTCTGAGGTAAGGTCCACGTTAGGAGCGGGGAGACTTTCTTGGGGTGAAACAGAAGGAGCTTTGGGATGAAGGTCTCCGTGATTTCCATCAGTGGTTTGTGGGTTGTTTCGTTTTGGGGCCTCTTCATGGATCGCTCTAGTTATTTTTGATCCGTGCTGCGTTTAATCAGTATTAAATGTCGCATCTAGCTGTAGCTGACCTGGAATAATTAACATGGAACCCATTGTCTCTCACACCGAAAGCTCCACGTCCTGGGTGTCCCACCTGGTGGTTGATGCAGAGAAGGATCTCCAAGGACGAGCTGTTTCATGTGGTTGACACTGGGATGCACGTTATTATTTTGATGCTTCTAAATCACATCTGAATGGGACAGTTAGAAATGACATTATTTGACTGCAGGTGTGTCTTTGCATGAACGTCTGGCTTTTAGGCCACAGGTGGAAAGGAGCGATTCAGAAGTAATTCTCTGACCCCATCATTCGCTAATCCCCTTACTATTCTTTTATCTTCTCCACACAGCTTACCATGTTATTTTCCCCTGAGTTATATATATTGTCTGTCCTTGGGCAAATCAACCAAAGCTTCTTATTACCTTTCAAGGTAATCTTAAAACTGAGGTTTATAGAAAGTTCACTTGTTGCTGAAGTCAATGCTCAAATGCTGGTAGTTGGTAAGAGTGTGGGCAGTTGGTCAAGTGTTGATGGAAGAGGAATCCTAGCATTCTACCTTTTGAGACGTCCCTCTGAGCCAGAAGTTCATAGAGGAGTAAGTGAATTGGCCTATAGTTTCTTAAACCCCACCTCACTCCATGCCCATAATTCTGAGCCTGGTTATAAAGGAGGGGCTAGCCATGCTGCCCTCAGTCTAATCTCAAAAGCAGGCCATCTGGAATTCAGATCAAGAGTGATCTGGTCCTCTTCTAGCAGACTTCCAGACAGAGGGGAAGTGGGAATACCAGAACGAGAAAAAAGGGACTGTGGAAGAAGACATTGAAAAGGTTATAGGTAGGGACTCTAATCACCATCCTTCAGTCCCACTTCCCACTTGCTTTAATCCTGCCTACTGTCGATCTGGAGAAGGAAAGATATCTGTTGGGGCTGGTGGTATTACCCAAGGTGTTGTCAGACCCAAGAAATCAGGAACCAAGGTTACTCAAAGGGGTACAGATTTATTCTAACACTCTCTACAAGAATCTGAACTACTGACAATCAAGGTGAATTGGCAGTAGACAAGAGTCAATGGAATTCAAGGTGGGGTGGACTTAGATCTCCTATGGGTGCGCAGAGACTCGAGACTGATGACATGTTTCACCCCCCCTCCCTCGGGCTCAGCCTGCTCATCTCCTGCAGGTGTGTTGCATAAATCAAGCTCTTCTCTTCTCCCTTGTCCAGACCGAGCAGGGAAACGATGAGGAATCCGAGGACGACTTTGAGGAGATGAATCTCTCCCTCCTCTCAGCTCGCAACTTCCCCCGGAAAGCCAGCCAGACCAGCATCTTTCTGCAGGAGTGGGACATTCCCTTCGAGCAGCTGGAGATCGGAGAGCTGATCGGCAAAGGCCGCTTCGGGCAGGTGTTCCACGGCCGCTGGCACGGTGAGATAGCCATCCGCCTCATCGACATTGAGCGGGACAACGAGGACCAGCTGAAGGCCTTCAAGCGGGAAGTGATGGCTTACCGGCAGACGCGGCATGAGAACGTGGTGCTGTTCATGGGGGCCTGCATGAGCCCTCCCCACCTGGCCATCATCACTAGGTAAGAGGCCCGTTTTGATAACCACCAAACCTTTGAATTTTTCCTGTGTACAAGCTGTAACGAGTGACTTCACCTCCAAATGGGTATTACTTCCCCGGCTGGTAATAATTCACCCGAAGCCCTCAACCAGTTCATTGCACAGAGGGATGAACGGACCACCTCCATCTCATCAGTGACACCAATTATGGAGTGGACCCTTAAGGAGGAGAGGTTCGACTTTCTGAGGACCGGTTAGTGTCCTGGGGATGCTATAAGCCAGGGGTCTTCAAACGTGGCCCTTTGATGACTTGTGGACTTCAACTCCCAGAATTCTTCAGCCAGCATGCCTGGTCGAGGAACTCTGGGAGTTGACGTCCACAAGTCATCAAAGGACCATGTTTGAAGACCCCTGTTGTATAGCAATCACAATTTCAAACAAAGTTGAGACTGGATTGGAAGACCCATGCACAGCTTCTCTCTCTCCCTCCCTCCCTCCCTCCCTCCCTCCCTGCTATAAGCCAGGGGTCTACCAACTTGGCCCTTTGATGACTTGTGGACTTCAACTTCCAGAATTCCTCAGCCAGAGTGGGAGTTGAAGTCCACAAGTCATCAATGGGCCACTTTTGAAGACCACTACTATAAGCCTTCATTGCTATCCTTTCCCAGAGAAAAGCCGTTCTGGTAAACCTTGCCTTGGCCTCACTGCTCAGCTGTCAAAGAAGAAAAATGGCAAAACCGTATTTTAAGGCATCCGCTGGGGGGGGGCGGCGGCAGAGTATTCTGTTTTCCAGCTTAAACAGATGTGCAAAAGGCTTCTTCGCTCTTCTTCCAAGCAGGCAGCCTGTTCACATTTTGTCACCTTGCAGGAGCTGGCGGCATTCCCAGCCCTGACTTCCTTTGGTTCTTAGCCTTTTTTCACCTAAGGTCAGCACCTGTCATTATCCGAGCGGCCCCAGAAGAACTTGGCGTCTGATTATGGAGTGTTTTCATGTCTTCAGCAAAATCATTGACTTTGGGGGTTTCCCAGCACTGACTTTGCATTCGCTTCGTTTAAAATGCAAAGCAGCATATTCGCGACTGGGCCCAACGATTGGCCGTCTGGTCTGTGGCAGTGATGTGCAAAGAATGTTTATTTCAGATGCTGCGTTGGTGGAAAACACCTGAGCATTTAAGGGTGTGTGTGTGTGTCTCAGTTTAGTCTTTCTTACTTTCTGGAAGACCACAGAAAGAACTGGAAGACAATCTGGGCTTTTATGCTCAGTACATGCTGGGATCCAGCCGTTCTCCAGCTCAGCACCTTGGAGAGGGGTGGCAAGAATTTCTCAGCTAGCTTTTAGCATACAATAAACCTATCTATTCCTTTAAGCTGCCTGGACTCCCGACTTCCTGCGCTTGAAGAGATAATCTAAAAAGCAGGGTCGACATTTAAGCAAAGAAGTCAATAGAAGTAGGGGGGGGGGGGATTCACAATAGGCACAATTGTACTGGAGTAGAGAGGCAGGATGAGGTTCCAGCAAGATGTGAGGGCTCAATCTTTAAATGCTTCGGCATTAGCAGAATTGCATCATCTTTTTTTTCTTTTTTTTAAAGGTAGAATTTTCAGGTTGTGGCAAATACATAAGTGCCAGTCTTTGGCCAAAGGGTCCCCCCTGAGCTTTGCTCAACTAATATCCTTCGCATTGAAATGATTTTCACAGAGGTTGTAAACACCGCTCGCCTTTACGCGACGCTTTTTCCCAAGGTGATGTGATAGGAACTCTGGGCTGGGCTGGGGGGGGGGGAAGAAATTCATCAGAATGGCTTGTGAGTCTTTGCCCTCCAGGGACTCACAGCACGGATGTGTGGCATCCCTCTTAATTAGTTTTCTGCTAGGACAGATGCGATCACAAAGTCTGCTCAGCGCTCCGAAGGCTGCAGTACCACAGGCAGGGTGTCCTGTTCCTCTCCGTGGCAGCTCTTTCATGTGGCACTATTATTATTATTTTTTTTTACCACATCAGCAGACAAGGCCTACCCCTTTTACTTTGACTTCAGATGGTCCTGGAACTTAGCATTGTTGGAAAACTGAAGGAAAGATGGAGAACAAGAAGAAGGAAGTGGAGCAAAGGCACAGGACCAAGATTCGCTAAGACTGTGTTTCTGAACTGTGGGGTCCTTGGTGCTTTCTGAACTTGGTAGTTTTCTTGCCGACGTTTCATTACCAACTTGAGTAACATCATCAGTGCTACCTGGTTGGGTAAAGAAACATCTGCAAGAAAACCACCAAGCTCAAAGAGCACCAAGGACGCTAACTTTAACCCTGACCTACCAATACTCTTCTTCTATTCGTGTTTATTAAGTTTGGCAACTTTAAGAACCATGGATTTCAACTCCCAGAATTCCCCAGCCAGCCAGAAATGTTGCTGACCTCATAACTTGATAAGAAAAGCAGACTTTTTGGATGATCTGCTGTTTATAAGCTCTGGGCACCAGAAATAGTGTCCGAAATACAATTTGTTTAACCTGAGACTGTGAGCAAGCTTTTGGTTTGGAAAAATTTCAAAGGTCTAACCTAGACCATCCTGGGCTAGATGGGAATGGTCTCGCCTGCAGAAGGAGACTTGCCTGTTTTCCCAGGACAAGAGTGGATCCATGTTTTAAAAAGTAACTTCTTCCAAGTCAAGGAAACCAAACGTGGTAGCAATCTTCCAATATCTGAGGGGCTTCCACAAAGAAGAGGGGGTCAATCTATTCTCCAAAGCACCTGAAGGCAGGGCAAGAAGCAATGGATGGAAACTAATCAAGGAGAGAAGCAACCTAGAATGAAGGAGAAACTTCCTGATGGTGAGAACAATTAACCAGTGGAATGACCTGCCTCCAGAAGTTGTGGGGTGCTCCATTATTGGAGGTCTTCAAGAATAGACTAGACAACTACTTGACCCGGATGGTTTCCTGCTTTGGGCAGGGGACTGGACTAGAAGACCTTCCCTTCCAACTCTGTTGTTCTGTTAAAGGGGAACTTATCGATACTTTCAAATCCTTGCAAGCTCCCAACCCCAAAATGGGTAAACAACCTTCCCCGTTTTGGTAAGTCGCGCTGATTAAACAATCATAAAAGGAAACACGTTTAAATGTGGAGCTTCTTGATGAAAGCTGATCAAACGTGATCGCTTGCTAAACTGGCCCCCTGGCAGTGGTGAAACGGCTTTAAATCCTGCTTTTGCAGGCTTTTCGCTGGATTCGTGTCATTAATGAGACTTCGCTTTGGAGAAAGAAAATTATTAGGCTCCAGCAGCTGGTCTCAGAAAGAGGGGCTTCATTAAGGAGTTGTTATTCCTGCACATTTTGACTAACTCACACTTAATTATGACTGTGCCAAAGAAATACCGAGAGCAAAAAAAAAACCTGTTTCTTCTACGAAAGCGTTTTTCAAAAACAGAAAAAAAAATGTTGCTAGAGATGAAAGAGTTCTCCTCTGTGTGCTTTCTACATTTTTATTTTAAAAAAGATTCCCCTTCATGGCCAGGAAAACATGTTTTAATGACCCGGAAATGTTTTTTTTATTTTTTTATTTGATGCCTCACTTTAGCTTTGCACAGAGAGGGCAACAGGGGAAAGTCCTGAACATTTTTTGTGAAAATGCGTGGTGCAAAGTTCTTGAAATGGATATCAAACAGAAACCAACTCACAACTGGCCGTTGCATATTCTGGTATAAGGAGAATGGCTTGAGGCCAGTGTCCCTATAGCAAAGTTTGTTTACGTTTCTGGAGGGGGAAAAAAAACCACATTTGTCCCAAGGATGCAAACTTCAAAGATTGCATCAACTTTAAATTGTAGCAAAGCTTTAATTGAGGCAACTTCTTCAGCTATATTATAGGTTTCAGAAGCTTACATAAGACTTCAAATAGTTTTTAACTCCATGTTGAAACAATATCACCTACTATAGCTAAGTCCAGGAAGGAAAAAGAACAACTAACTCATTAGGAGCTGTCCAAGGTGCTATCATTACCTTCTCCGATCATATTTTTGAGTTGGCTTTGATCATTTTATCGAAATATTAACTGCATAGTCTTGATTTTGTTATCGCTGAACCTTGACTGGACTTTAATATCCTTGACTGGCTATTTTGGGACATTAATACCAGCTTATTCTGCAAAATTTCAATTGCCTACTCTGGCTGTTTGTTTCACTTGTAGAGATCTAATGGAACGTATGAAAGCAATATTCTTTCTAAGGGTTTACTGAAAAGAAGCAATTTAGTTAAATTAGAATTTTTCGCACCGCTATGCAATGAATCCCTGCCCTATTATCTCCTTTGTTCTCAGTGTCACCAGACATTTGAAAGAAAAAAGAAAAAAAGAAAAAAGGCCGTGGAAGTGATCCTTTGCGTGGAAGCTGCACTAATACCTTTTCTTTCCTTTCCTTTCTTTTTTATTTTGCAATTCCTTCTCTACCGATTCTGCTGAGGCTGTTTTGCCCTATTCAGAAGTTTTAGGCTGAATGGCCCCCATTTCTCTGCCCGTCTCTTCTTTTCGTACACTTTCTCTCACCTTCTTCCTTTCCTAGCGTTTACAGTAATGAAGCCCATAAATCATATAATAAATAGCTATTGACTTCCGTCCGCGGCCAAATCACAACGGATCGACCTGTGAGACTACTGCTTTACCTCAATCGATAGGAAGCCCATAAAGGAGAATAAATCTTGATAGAGACCGACAAGAGAGCGGGGGAAAGTCAATATACGTATTAACACATACATTAAAGGAAGCCCTATCTACCTCTGGAGAGGTGTCATCTTATTTTGACAGCTGGCAAGGCAAAGCAGGAAGGGAGGAAAAGGAAAAGAAAGTGACTAACTTAGAGAGCCCCCCCCATTTTATTCCTCGTACAACTAAGCATTTATAGGAAATTGGTGCTATATTCTATGTCTGGAAACAAAGAAAATGGTAATACAGTGTTACCCAAGGCCATGGTGACACTAAGACTTCAAGGCGGTTTTTCCTGACTTACTGACCCCACTACTACTATTGGCATTGCATGA